ATGTCCTTGAGTGTGATGCCCTGTCACCTCTTACAATATCTCTGAGGAACTTGCTTCTCATCCCATTCTCCCAAGGGATGAAAACTTTTCTAGGAGAGACTGTTTTTGGAGTTTCTCTTTCAGTAGTGGGGCCAGGCTGTGAAATCCCAAGAGGCTGCTCTGGAGTAGTGGTGTTCATTTTAGCTCTGAGAGGTCCTGGAGGTTATGGGAACACGTCTATGTGGACAACAGCAATCACAAACCAGCAGATTTTTCCCATCTGCCCTGCTCTTGCCCTTGCTCTGTTTCTCAGTGTAGTACTTGGGGCCCTGAAGTCTTCTGATAAGTGGGACAGCAATTGACCTGCCAATGTGGAGGGAACTTGAGATCCAAGATGATTTTCTTTCTCTTTCAGTTCGCCATGGAACCAAACTACCTCCATATCTGGCCAAGAAACACCTTCATGATGATTGCGCTGCCCAATATGGTGATATTCCACAGTCATGGTTCCTTGGGGCTGGGAGGGAGCTTGTGGAGATGAGCTGGCTGTGATGGCAACTTCGTAGTTGGGCTTCAAGAGGAGCCCAGAGAGACCTGCAGCCTGAGCAAGGAGTTCCCACAGCCTAGGGGCACATGGTAGCAATCCTAGCTAGCCCTGAGCAAGTGACCAGGCTACTTCTCTCTCACCTCACCCACCCAAGACCCCAGGAAACTTGGGGCTGGAAGTACAAACCAGACACAGGAGTACCAAGGTCTGTTTGCCATCCTTTCCTGCTCTGTGCTACAACATCCCATGGGACGTGGGGTGGCTGGATGCTAGAGCACACTGCACACAGTGTCACTGCAATGGCCAGATGGCCAGCAGGCTGGGCATTAAGATGCTGATCCACATGTAAAGTGCTTTTCTTGACTTCTGGACTTCTTTCTAAACTTTCTCCCTGGCTAACAGGACAAGTCTTTCACCTGCACTCTCTTCATGCCCTTTGAGGAATTTGAGAAGCTAATGACTGGTGAGCAAGTACTGGATTTTTTCCAGACCTACTTCCCGGACTCCATCCCCCTCATCGGAGAGTGAGTGTCCCCACTGCCCCTTCTTGCTCCTCATTATGGTGACACCATGCTGAGGAACATGCTGGTTCCCCACAAGGTCTTCCTGTGACCCACACTCTCCTTAGGCTGGCAAGCTAGCTGCCTGTGTACACTGCTAGGGGGCTCTTTATGGCCTGTAGAAGAGGAGAACCAAAGAGACCAGGATTTGCATTGCTTCTTCAGTGAGGTAACAGACTTGGCAGCAAAATACAACCCATCCTGCAGTGGTCTGTGAATAAGTTGCACTCCAGTACTATTCTGTATCTTGGAGGCACAACCCAGGTCCTGTCACTGTGGGGAGCAAAACATAGATCACCTCCCACTGCCTTTATATTGCTGTTGAGGATTTTTGTTGAGGTCAGGAGATGGATTAGGGGGTCGTAAGGCATGATTTTGGTCTTAGGGCAGGGTGAGGAAAGTGGATCTACTAGAGCTGAGGTGCGAATTGTGCTCTGTCCCAGCAATGTTCCATTCCTAGAGGTGTTCAAGGCCAGGCTTGGTGGAGCCATGGACAACCTGATCTGCTGCCTGATTTAGTGGTTGGCAACCCTGCCCATGGTGAAGGGTGAACACTATCAATAGGGCACCGAGCAAAGCTAATCTCAACATGCTGTGCTACATTTGTAGGAAGAGAAGCTATCTGTGTTCACTCCATGTACCTATGGCATGCTTGCTTGAAGTATAGTGGGAAGTTAATGAAAAAGGTATTTGCTCTTTCATGTTTTTCCAGCACAAATATCCTAGTAAACAGGAGCAGTTTTGCATCCTGTAGCAAACAATGCCTACGGCCCCGGCTTCCTAAGCTTGGATGTGGTATGGTTTGCTCTCCCTGTCTCTTGTGGTCCCATCAAGTGAAGTATCTCTTCTTTTGCCCGAAGGCGAGAGCTGAAGCATGACTACTTTTTGCTGCCAGCCCAGGCCATGGTATCTGTGAAGTGCTCCTCCTATCACCTCTCTTCCCGCTGTTTGCTGATGGGAGATGCCGCTCATGCTGTTGTGCCTTTCTACGGACAGGGCATGAACGCAGTAAGTTCACAGCTTGCCCTGCGTCATTCAGTCCCCACTTCTTGGGGATGAGCAGCCCAGTTGGAGCCCCATGCTGTTGGAAATGCCACTTCCTAGTGTTGCCCTGCAAGATCCCTGCAGCGGGGCCTGGAGGCTCTGAAGATGCGCTCCATGGAATATGGAATGCCAGGGCTGCTAACAGCTACATTAGCTCAGCATCCCTGAGGGCGTTTCTTGTGAATGTGTGACTGCTGCTGCTTATTTAACCTCCAGTATTCCTCCCAGGGCTTCGAGGATTGCCTGGTCTTTGATGAATTAATGGACCAGTTCCACAATGACCTGGGTGAGTGGCATGGCCCAGCCCTCAGAAGCAGAAGGCCCTGCTGGGGAGCTGCCTGACAACGGCTGCTTTCTTTCTCCAGTTGCCTGCCTCCCTGAATTCTCCAGACTGAGGGTGCCCGATGACCATGCCATCTCAGATTTAGCCATGTACAACTATGTAGAGGTGAGTGACTGGCAGATGAGGGACTGTCTGTGCAGCAGCATCCTTTCTCCTTCTGGCAGGTGATAATCTCTGTGTTGCAGATGCGAGAGCACGTCAATTCGACATGGTTCATTTTCCGGAAACACATCAACAACCTCCTCCACACCCTCATGCCTTCTACCATCATCCCACTGTACACAATGGTAAGGCTAGAGCTTTGTTCCTCATGGTTCTAGCCTACCATGAGCTGCTCCCCTACCTGCTCATGCAATCTTGACAGGTGACATTCAGCAGAATTCGCTACCACGAGGCACTTCAGCGCTGGAAATGGCAGGAAAAGGTAAGCTGAGAGCCCTGCATCCTTCACAACAGCACTGCTTTGTGCTGCAAGCTCCTGACAATGCTGACAATATCTTTGCACTCGCAGATAATTAATCGAGGGCTCTTCATCGTGGGGGCAGCAGGGCTGGGTGGCACCTACCTGCTCATAAAGAGACTGACACGGGGCTGGTACTTCTTCATACCAAACTTGTGGGGCTGGTGCCATTACATCAGGAATATTGGAAATTTTCCTTTCAGCACCCAAGTGGCACCCAAGTGATAACAGAAGGTTCTGGGGGCAATAAAAGCGAAGGCTGTTGGCTCAGTTTGGTGACTTTTTTCTTTGTTGGGATGTGGTCCCTTCTGTCCCCTGCCCCCCAGGGGAGAGAAATTTACTGGGGCACAGGGGGTTCCATATGCATCTCTGCCTAATTTAAACTGCTTTGTGCCTTGAGTGATGCTGCATGTCATGGGCTGGGCACGGGGTTTGTGTGCAGTAATGGGAAGAATGTGCAGCCTCTAGCCAGAAAGACAGTTGGGATCACTTGGGGCTTCTCAGTCCACCATGGGACTTTGCCAGTATGGCTAACTTCTGCTTGTATCAGAATCCAGCGCCTCCCTACTTTTATCCTCCTCATATGCCTTTGGAACTTTTCTAGTTTCTCCTCTTCAATTTCTCCTTATGAAGCAGCTTAGTAACATGTATCTGTTGAAGAAACATATCCTTGACTCAATGTTGATATTTCTGCATAAATAAATCAAAAGATATCACAAACTTTGAAAAAATACATTTCTTTTCCTACAATTTCTGTTTGAAAATTGTATGTGAAACTTATATCCCCTCCCCCACTGTTTGTTGTTGTTTTTGCTTTTCCACCAAGGCACATTTATTTTAACTCCCTTGCTGCCTGAGTGCTGTGCAAGTAAGCACCTGCACCCTGGCTTCCTTACCTCTGGTGCCCCTCACAAGGAGAGGTCCCCAGGCCACTTGTGTGTCAGCTTGTAGGTGTGGGCATATGCTGGCTCATGTGCATGTGCTGGGTAGTGTGCTCCAAGCGTGTGCTCTGCTTACACATGCTGTAGGTCGGGTGAACTTGGGAATGTGAGCTATTTGTGATTTTAAAACAGTATTGGGATGGTTTTTAGTTGAAAATCAATTTGCTTCCTTTCCCCAAGTGAAGGAAAATAGAATTTATTAATTCTTGATGACAGCTTTAAGAGAAGATGTTCTGGGCCACTGCCTGAAGTTTAGGGGAATTTCACAGCTGCCTGAGAAATACTGCTGCAGGCAGGTCTCCACAGACACTGCCACCAAGCCTTTGGGCTAAAGCAAGACAGGGGGCCTTGAAAGATCCTCTCACATATTTCCTCACCCATTTCCTTCTTTTGTGCATGTCCTAGCACTTGCTTCTGTCTAACTCAATTACTGGTCATGCTTCTTTTTGAAACAATTTGGATCTCTATGCTTGCATCCTTCGTTCAGTTTCCCTAATCAACCTGCAAAGCATGTACAAATTTGTGTTTGTATTGCACAGCTTACACCAGAAATAATACCTGTAGCCACTGATGGGGGAGATTCTCTCACCGTGTCCAAGTTAAGAACAGTCTCTGTCTGGGTCCTTGGCAACAAGCACTGCCTAAGAGACCCTGAGCCCTGGTGTCATTGGGCAGCCAGATGCGAGGTGCATGAGAGCTGCACTAGGTCAGAGTCCTCGAATCAAAAACAGCTGCAGGCTGGGAGAACACTGTGGGAAGTATCAGAGGTGCTTCTGCTCTTCCTCTGCCCCAGGCCCTCAGTCATTGGTGGAGAATGGCTAAGTGGCTCAAACTAATCTATCATCAGACACTGTACAGCCACTCTTGTTTAACGTTTCATGTATGGCTGCCAAAGCACAGCCATTGGTAAGAACTGCTTTGTATCATTTTGTGAGCTCTTTCTGGCTTGCAAGGGAGCACCTATCAAGATGCAGCTGGCAAAGTAGAAGACAGTGTGTTTCTTTGGCCAGAATTTCTACAAGCACTGTATCTTGTGGTAGATGCTGGCAGCCACCACAGGAATTTGCTGTAGTTTCTCCAGTGAGTGTTTCAGCTGCTGCCCTAGTGCCTGAGTAGGACAGATGTATTTACTATATATATTAATTTTTATTAACTTTAAACATATTCATAAAGCTAACGGAGATTGGACGTAAAATTATCTGCAAATTATTCCCAAACTTGAAGCAAGTACACAACCGTACATGTATTTCAAAAGAATGAACCCATAATACAAAAGGAACAAGTAGCTGCGCAGAATTTGAAAAAGCACTGAGCTGGAGATTTTATGTGTGATGCCAGGTCTTTTGCATTGCTGATCCTCAGCAAGTCTGATGGACTCGCAGAGTAGGAAAGAGATCTGGTCCTAGTGGTGGCAGAAGAAGCTGTGGTTGAGCTCAAAGCTGCAAGCACTGTTTCACACATTCAACACCTCTGATGTTGATGTTCCACAATTCAATCTGCTGCTCCTTTGCTTCTTTGCCATGCAGTGGGTTGCGTGGTGGAGGTAAGCAAAGCTCACAGAAGCCCAGGTAGAAATGTGGAGGAGCCCGAGATAGGTCTAAGAGGGAAGTAACACTGGGGAGCAGCTGATGATTTAAAAACCAGATTCTCTGTTTGTTTTCTGGCTGTCCATCATTTCTGGGTACAGCAACAAGAGCAGACTGCCCATCTGGAGACCTTCCCTGTCCATTTCAGCAATGAGTAGTTTAGGAACAAGCTGCAAGTGTAACTGCAGAGCAGTGCAGCAGGGCATGGAGCAGCCTAGGAGTGGAGCCTGCTGGAGCAGAAGGGAAATAGCAGTTTTGAACTCATTGGGAAAACTTTTTGCACTAAGTCTCTTAAGATGGGACTTGGCATCTGAAGGTCCTGCCACAAAGCAGAGCTAGCACCAGGAGCTAGGACAGATGGAAACTGATATGAAGCTGGGTTGAGTGCCTGTTGGTAAGATCTGCTCTGCAGCTCTGTCCATGACACTGATGTTCCCTCCTCCCACAGTGCAACCAGACAGCTATGTGAGAGAGGACAGGTACTGTGCAGCCCCTCAGCCAGCACCTGGATACTGGTAGCCTCTTGGAAGAAGGGTTAAAAACAACACAATAAAGAAGAGGTGGGAGCCTGAAATTTCCCTGTTTGGCATTTCATTTAGTGGTGGGTCCTAGTGCTCCCAGGCATCACTATAGTTCATTGCCCATCAAATCTGGGGTTCATGACGGTGGTGGTGGCACTCTTGAACAGGGGATTATCAGCCTGGAGAGAGAAAGGTGAAAGTCTCATGAGATTGTAGCAGACTTTTGGCAGTGTATAACCCATCCTTCCATGACTTTGAATGACATGGACAGCATTAGCTGCTCCAGGATTGGGCAGTGGGAAGGTCTGGGTCCACCACGCTCTGGGCACTGCCAGTTGCAGTAGCCCCTACAGAAGATATCTCCACACCCATCCTCCCAGCAGCCCCCCTGCATGCAGTCATCCTGATGCTCTCTTACTTCGTTCCACTTGGCCTTGGATTTCTCCTTCTCGAACCTGCGGTATTCTCGGCGGTCGAAGATCTCCACCAAGAGCCGCCAAATCAGCAGGAGCAGGAGGCCAATGAGAGCCACGCCAGCAATGGTGCTGCCTACAATCAGCGGGACGCTGGGAGGCTCTGGGCACTCTGTGGATCAAAAACAGATCCTGTATGTCTGCAGCCCCCAGGAGAGCTGTTGGGGCAGGGGCAGGATGAGTGGGATTCATAGAATCATGGAATCATAGAATCATAGAATGGCTTGGGTTGGAAGGGACGTCAAAGATCACCAAGCTCCAACCCCCCCCCCACATAGGCAGGGCAACAAAACTCCACATTTAATACTAGACCAGTCTAGTACCTTTCTTAGGGTCAACGGTGACGGTGTACATCTCCTCCCCATCATCCTGGGCCATAAAGAAGGAGATCCAGCAGTTCTCAGAGTCCTTCTCTTTGCACTGCCAGCTCCCTGCCCGTGGCTGGTCAGCCAGCTGGATGTTGGTGCAGGCCACAGAGCAGTTCTTTTTCAGTGGCCCACTATTGAAGGACTTGCACTCCACGCAGGAACTGCAACACAGGCAGCTGCAAATTGTCTCTGCAGCGACAGCAGCTCCCATGTCCACCCCACCACTCAGCTCCCCATCACTCACATGTGCTTGCCGCAGGGTGAAGGGCAGCCAGGGCACTCCTCGCAGAAGGGGGGCTGGTAGCCCCCCCGGCACTGGCAGCGGTTGCAGTGGCAGGAGCCACGCAGGCTGCACTCATTCTGCCGGCTGTTCCTACAGCCATCAGTCGACTTCTTGCATTGGCAGGCACTGCCTTCATACTTGGGTGTGCACTTGCACTCACCGCAGTCGCAGCGTCCACGCTCTGTGATGGGAAATGTTTCCAGTCATGGCCCTGTGGGGCACAGGGCTGCCCTCAGAGGGAGCTGTGAGGAGGATGGGGTTGAGGGAGGATGAAAAACAGGAGCTGGTCCCTCTGCCAGCTCTGACTGCCTCTGCTTGGAAGGAGCCCCGCACTGGGGCTAGGGCTGCCGTTCCAGGAGGGGTTCTGTGGGGGCAACATGGAAATGCGCTCATGCAGCTCAGACAGTGGGACTATCCCCCTGTGTCTGAGCACCCGGTTGCTCACCCTCACCACCGCACAGCGAGCCGTTGTGGAACTCGCAGTTCATGTTGTCGCAGTCGCAGAAGGTGCCATAGATCTCCTTGCCGGGCACATCACTGGTGTGGCAGGCACACTGCCCACACACGCAGTCCCCCAGCCCCGAGCAGATGACTGAGCTGTTGTCCTTTCGGCAGCTGCCCTCCAGCTCTTTGCTGGTCCTGCCTTTGGTGTCACACTCACAGTTCTTTCCCGTGTAGCCCAAATTGCAACTGCCATGAGGGGAGAGGAATGAGACTGGGTCAGCAGCCATGGCGCACACACAGGGCCAGGCTCAAACCTCGACTGAAACAGAAGAGATCTGGGATAGCATTGTTGGAAACAAACGTGTCACCAGGAGCCTGCACCACTGCGTGATGGAGCAAACTCTGGGAGGCCCTTTGGTGAGAGACATCAGCAGTGCTGCTCTCCATGTTTGTAATACTTACAACACCAAACGACTGCCTGAAAATTATTATGATATTTATAATTTCCAAACCCTTGCCAGGAGATCTGAGTGTTTCCTGAGAAAACAGGCTTTTCCTCTCCCATTTGCTGAGAGACCTTGAAGCAATAATTACGTTTAAAGATGTACATGAACCGCAGAAGTGAGATTTTTAGAGATTTCCACAGAAAGCTTGGTGTTTGGGCAGACAGATGGTTGAGTGGGTGGAGAGTTGGCTGAATAAAGGGTAGGCAGATGGATGGCTGAGTGGATGCACGTGTGACCTTAGGAAAGGAGCAGAGGATCTACCAATTGAAGACAGACCTCAGTGTATTCCCTGCTGCCATGAACCTAAACTGCTGCTCCAAAAAGGAAAGTGGATGCAAATGATCAAAGCAAGGCCATGACTGATGGCTCTGCAGGCCCTGGGGTGCTGGGAAGCACCAAGCACAGCAGCAAGCAGTGGACTTGGCTTAGCCTGGCAGCTCTCTCACAGCATCTCCTCAACTCTGGCATTATTTGAAATAGTATTTGTGGAGAACAGCACTCACCTGCAGATCCCACAGACAACTTTGCCATTTCCACCACAGGCTGTTGGATCAGGCTGCTCTCTGCAGTCACAGTCACAGATGATGTTCAGGTGCACAGTGAGCGTGTCTGTGAAGCCCAGTGGCCGGATGGTGAAGGACTGGCTTTTGATGCACTCACTTGCTGTGACCTTCACTTTGAAGGTGATCTAGTAGGTGCAGAGTGAGAAGAGGGAAGGGCTAGAGACCATCAGGTAGCTTCAGTAGCAATATAATACTGGCCCCAGGCTGAGTGGACACATAACGGAGGATCATCCTCAGCATTCTGGACATTTCGGGCATTAAATTCACATGAACAAAAAGTCTGGGACAAGAGTTCCTGCTGCTAGACAGAAAAGGCGGGAGGAACCTTGCAAGCTGCTCAGCATTCCTGATTTAGGGAAACATACCTCATCATTGATCTTAACATTGTCACATTGCCCTCTTGCTTCATTCTTGGCTCCTGTGTTGTTATTGCAGATGGAGTCATATTTGACATCCAGGTCATCTGGCAGGGTGGAGTGGTCCAGGATGATCCGTGAGGAGAGGTTCTGTGAGGGAATGATGGGCAGTTATCCAGAAGAGGGACTGAAGCATGGAAATGTGGAATTGCTTCCCCCAGCCCAGGGCAGAAGGGTAGGGTGAGCCCCAGGACATGGTCACAGCTGACTGTGGTAGGGCAGGAAATGTGGCATCAGAGAAGTGGCAACCTCTTGCTGGTTGTGGGCAGAGTACCATCCTCAAAGTCCCAATCTCACCTGCTCTCAGATGATGATGACACATGACATGAACTTTTCTCCACCAAATAGGCAAAATTAGTTCTCACCCAGCACTTACATTGTAAGCCACCTGAATGAGTTCAATGATGTTACTGGAGTCCTCATTCAGCTCCCCTACTGCTGACTTTGGGATCATTTCACTGAGTTTCTGCCAATGGAGAACAAAGGAATTAGATGTCCCCACCATGTGATAGCAGTGGCACCACATGGTGGTGATACAGCAGGACATAGCAGGACATGCATGTGTCACCTCAGGAGGCACTTGGACCAGTCAAAGTCTACTTACTTTGTAAACATCCACCATCTTGCTCGTGACAGCAAAAATGGGCTGAATATTGTTTTCAGCAAGTTTCTGGACCAGCTGGCCAACAGAAGGGTAGTCCTGTGTGAGAAGAGCAGGCTGATAGAGTTGCTGTAAGGAAGACCTTCCAGAACACCCCAAACAAGTCAATACCTGATACAGAGGAGTTTTCACTCCTCAGAGACACCTGAGGCAGCAGCATCTCTGCTTGCATCCATCACAACCCCCCACCCTGGATTGTCTCCTGGGCTCTCATGGGGGCTGTAAGCAATTACTGTGGAGTTGCCCTATGGGCTTAGGGTACAGAGCCACTGAGCAAACCTTGGAACAATGCCAGAGTACTTACAAACTCATTGCTTTTTTTGTACATGTTGTCCTCCAAGTGGCACTGGCCATCGTTGGGGGTCAAAATGCCCCCGAGTCTGCCATCACCAGCAAAGTGGAAGCCATCATCAGTTGCATACACCAACAATCGGGTCACATTGCGCCAACCAATCAAGTCCTGTAATGATATGGACAGCACTGAGACCTGTCCACAAATGGGGCTGGGGTGATGCTGCCTGGGCACGGCGCAGTCACTGATGGATATCACATCAGCCTCAACAAGGGCCAGAGAGCATGGAGGAATGTTCCTGAAGTCTCAAGTGAGGAAGCTCAAGGGTAAGATGCTCTCTTGTATTCAGGCAAATCAGGACTTCTAAATGGATTACAGGCTTGAAGCTACATGATGGGCACCCACGACCTGCTCCAGGAGGGACAGAGCCAGCTCCTGAGTGGAGGAGCCATGAGCAGAGGCAGCAGCCATCATCATGCCTGCAGATGCAGGGAATGGGGGACACATGAAGCCACCCTGTTGGGTACTCACTCCACACACTGCTGCCTGCATCATGGCATCCAGCCCGCCTTCTGGGGCATCCAGGTTCCCTGAGATGAACTGCTTGCCCACTTCACTCTCGAACTTCTCAGCATTATCAGTTAGTGAGAGGATGTGCTTGAAGGCGAAGGGAGGCTGGCAATTACTGTCCTTGTTGGGGCAAGGGTTCTTCAGCTTCTCAGGGTGTGTGTTGACAAAAGGCAGTACCGTCTTGTCCACAAAGGAACCAAAACCTAGGATGCCCAGGACCATGGTGTTAGGGAAGGAAGAGGCAGGGGTTGACAGGTGTCCTGATGGCACCAGGCATGGACAGCCTCCTGGCTCCTGCATGGGGAGCCAAGTACTTGTCTACATCCCTTGCTCCAGCACACTGCTTCATACTGCCTGCATCCTGCATTTTGTTTTGTCCACTGGCCTCACTGCTCTTCCCACTGAACAGCTGGCCCTGTGCTGGAGGCAGGCTCACCTATGCGGCGAGAGGGTGTGGTACTCTCTAGGGCTCTAAGCAGTTGTCCTCCCAGCTTCTTCACATTCTCCAGGTCATCCAGCATGGAATAGGAGAGGTCCATGAGGTAGTAGATATCAATGGGGTACCCTGTGGCACGGCGAAACTTCACATCAAATTCAGCAGGCTCCCCTGTGGGATAGGGACACCAGGTTCAGCCACTGTGCTGTGGATCATTCCTGCCCCATTGCCCACCCCACACTGGGATCTTTCTTTGGGAGAAAATTGGAAGGAAACATGCCACTGCACCCCAGCACAGCTACAGGCTCCATCCTTATCCCCCTGAAGTGTCTCCCACCCTCACATCTTCACTAGCTTTCCTTCAAGATTTTTCAGCTCCTATGAGGTCCCTTGCGTCCCCTGCAAGGTCATCTCTTGCCAACAGCCTATTCAGTTCGAAGAAAGGGTAAAAATCACATGCAACAAACGTTGGCCAGCTTCAGCTGCTATCCAGCTGAGTGTGGGGATGGGCAGAAGGTTATTAGCAACAACACAGGAATCGTACTTATCCTCAGCTTCAGATGGACCTCCTGGGGAGTCAGCTGTATCTTATTGCTGAACGTACTGTCCTGCATCCTTTTGATTTCATTGACAGGAAACTCAATCTCATTTTCTGGGCATCCCCTCTGCTGCAGCTGCTCTACGGTGTCGCAGCGGTTGGAGTCTGGCTCACCAGTTTTGGTGAAATTCTGTTGCAGCATCAAACAGAAAAATCAGAAGGGCAGGAGGTAAGTGAACCCAATGGCCCAACTCCCAAACCAGCTCTGCTGGGATCCTGGGATATCAGTGGAGTAAGGAAGGCTGAAGTTCTCCTGGTCTCACCCAGCAGGGAGGACACAAAGCCCTGCCGGGACTGTCTACCCACTGGCAGGATGGCTGTCCCACTGCCCTTTTGCTGGTAGCATGTGAGGCTACCAGGACCTACCAGCTTCTTGCACCAGGCGCAGCCAGGGCCAGACTGGATGCAGTTCTTGCATGTCCCCACCTTGATCTTGGGACACTCTGCGGCAAAGGCTGGAATGTGGAGAGGACGGGTTTGAAATGGGGGAACAGGACCAGTCTGCACCTGAGACAGTGCTCAGGCTCCCAGCAACAGACACCCACCCTGCATGGCTCTCAGTGCCACATGTAGTGCAGTGTTGGGTATTTTCCCACTCCAGCACTGTCTCAGTGACCACATGAGGAGTTGGGGAAAGGCAGGGATGAAGGGTAGGTGGGGCTCACCTGTTGTCAGCAGCAGCAGAAGCACCCAGGTCACTGCTGGCAGCCAGAGGCAGCAGTCACGAGGCATTTTCTGCAAGAGGAAAGGCATCCCTGTGACTTCAGCCTCAGGGAAGGGAGCCTCCAAATCCCACAGAAAGTGCCTGCAGAGATGGTGGCACTGAGTGGATGTCTCCATCCTACAGCAGGGCAGGTCCTGAGAGCATGACCCCAATTGACAGCTCACATGCTCTTAGAAAAATATATTGTTATCCAGCTAAACATTGCTTTTGGGCTAAACATGAAAGTCAGCAGAGCAACAGCTGGCACTGCATCAGTACACCTTCAGTTGAACTGCTACGTAGACTGATGTGATATTTATCCAGATTCTTCTGCATCTATTTTTGTGTGTGTATGTAATACAGAAAGGCATGCTCTTGGAGCAAAACCCAACATATCTGGCCTTACAACATGGGTGTATCTGGGGATGTGAGAAAAGAGGAAATTGTTAAAAGAGGAAAAAAGAGGGGAAAAAAGTGTGGAGGAACAGTGAATATTTCTGTTTTCAGCAATAATAGATACAACATCAAAAGGATGTGTCATTGGTTTTGAAATGGCTCTTTTGCCACCCTGAGCAATCAGACAGCTCCTCCCTGGTTCCTGCCAGTGCTGCGGAGCACCATCAGCCTCTCCTGAGAACCTGCCAGACTGAGCAGCTCAGGGCAGGAAGGAAGCAGCAAGGGAAATGCAGAGAAAGCACCAAACCCAGAGCAGTAAATATAGCTGCTCAGAGCTGCTCCTGGCACAAGGATGTGTCTGCAGGTTGTCTGCTGCTGTGAGGCAGCAGACAAGTCAAAGGGTGACAATGATTAGAAAGATCAGATGCTAAGGAAGATAAGATGGGTGTCATTTTGTGACAACTGCGCAGTGGGGTTTGATGCCTGGTTGTTCTGTGAACTTGGAGGTGTGACAGGGCTGCAGCAGCAGAGTGCAGGCTGTCAGGATGTGAAGATCTGCAGCCTTAAGAGGTGACCACCTCAGAGCTGAGCTCCCCAGCAGTGCTCTAGAGGCAGCCACCTCTCTGCACAGACAGGCAGAGGTGACTCTGTGCTCTGCTGTGTCATTTTGTGATGGGGCTGCAGCTCCATCTTTGCCTGTGACCATGCCCACTGCACCTCTGTGGGCACTCCACAGGTGACTGGGCCCTGGGGGCAGGTGCAGAAGGAAAACCCTCAGTGTTCACACAAGCTAGCTCTGGCTGGGTTTCATACTGAGTTAATGGGTTTCATTTTTTTTACCTCTTGCCTGTCTCTAGTGGGACTCCCAGTTCCAGCGCTCTCATTCTTACAGAAGTCCATAACTGCATGTGGACATGTGCCCTTTGCACTCATTTAGGCTAGAAGGGAGCCATATAAGCCACAAGATTAGCCATGGACTGAGGCCCTGTGAGCTTGTGCTTCGCTTGCTGGAGATAGTTGGTTCATACATACACAAAAGGGAGTAAGTTTCCAATTACAAAAGGATTAAAAATACCTCCCAGACCCCAGAAACACACTCAATATAAGCCCTGCTTTGTTTGATAATGAGTTCTGTACTATAGGGTTTATTTAGTGGGCTGGATTTTGGTGCCCTTATAATGCTAAAAGTCATTTCTTTCCCCACAGCAGGGGTGTAAAACACACCCTGATGCTAGGGGACTGCAGCAGCAGAAAGCTCACCACTTCTTTTTCTTCTGCTGCAGAAGGAAATTATTCACAGCTATGTGGGTGGATGAGCATGTATGTGATGTAGGGTGACTTTCAAAGGAAACAAATAGGGCTTCTGCTTTTGTCTGCCTCCTCAAAGTACTAAGAGAAAGGGAAAACAGGTTTTCTGTCTGACTTGGTAGTAGCAGAGCCCAGGCAGAGACCCTGCAGTTTTCTCCATTTGCTCTTGCCATCCATTTGGCTCAGTGTCAGACTTACACTGCTAGGGGTGCACTGCCCCCAGCTGTGCTGTGCCAGGGACAGGTTTGCCTCTCACAGCAAGCAGAGGGATGCACAAAGCCCACCATCCTGTCTGCAAGCTGGGATTTATAAATAGGGCTGAAGGGGAAGTGTCAAAGCTGTTTCATTGCTATAAATAAGATGAGAGTTCAACAGCAGAAATGGGTCTTGCAGTCTATTAGCCACAACTCTCCTTTGCTGCTTTGCTAATTATCTACTTGCAAAATGGGAGGACATTTTCCTGTGCCCAGTATCCCTGGAGGACTCTTGGCATGCTTGCATCATCTGCCTGTAACAGAGAGGCTGCCATCCACAGGGTGTAAATGAGCACCATAGGGCACAGCAAGGCAGGGAGGTGCGTATCACTTGGCTTGTGGCTGTTCCTTCTTTCACTTAGTTTGGTGTTATGGGTAATTCCCATCAAGGTAGACATTCATCAAGAGAGCTAGGACTGACTGAGACACTGAGGCACTTCCTCCATGCAAAATATGTATGTGCAATATATATATATGTATGTTTATATATAGGTATGTATGGGTATAGATACACACACATCAATAACAGTAGCTTTGCAGGGTCTGCCTGCATCATCTCTATCTTTAAACATCTATCTATCTATATAAAAATATATATTTATAGAAAGGTAGATACAGGTATACAAAAACAGCCTTGCAGGGTCTGTCCCAGTCACTGAACGCAGCCTCCTTCTGTCACTGGTGCAAACATCCTGTTGCATCTGCTCTAGGCTAAGCAGAAACCATTTAGGACAGAGAAGCTCTTCCTTGTTTCTTTCGTGCTTTGTATGAAGACTCATGGCTAGCATCGCCCATTTGACAGTAGCATAGTGAAGTGGTATGCCTCCTGCCTGCAGCACCAAACTGCAAAAGTGGGAGATTTCCAGCTTCTCGTGCTTCGTTCAAGAAAGTAGGTCCTGCACTGTGGTCACTAGCACACTGAGTTTAGTTACAATTCACTATAAAACCACCAAGCAAAGCAGGATGTGACAATAATGGTAACGAAATGTAACATAACTTTCCCACACTTTTCTGCAGAGGAACTAGCACCTATGTCAGCCACAGGGCTCGACATCTCTGTTCGTGCATTTGCTTTTCATCTCCCTGTGAGACAAGGAGCCAGACCTTTAAAACTCATCGAAAATGAATGTCTGTCTGCTTGAGAATGATTCAAAAGCAAACAGCAGTTCTCTGGCTTCTCCATCACATGTGGGTTTTACTTCACAGGACCTACGCTTTCCCACTGCTGTGTTAGCAAGCAAACTTTTTTTTTGCCTTAGAGGCTTAACAAAGGACTTGCTTTCTGCAGGGAAAGTTTGCATGCATCCTTTGCTGTATTCCTTGCTTCCACTATGCATCTTCTGAAGTTTTTTGCAGAGTGTAATGCACACAGAGAGAAATGAAGGGGAAGAACAGAGTCTTGCTCCACTGCCCTAGCTCTTCTTCCAGCCCTTCCCCACTCCACAGAGGTAAAGGCATCCTCATCTAGCATGCCACAATGGGACAGATTGCTTGCACCAATCAACCCCTTATCACAACAAAGCTGAGGCTGTTTCTGGCCACAAGGTCTGACATGCTCAGATAATATCCTTGTGCCCACGTGCTGGAGGTGACACAGCATTAGGCAGAAATTGCTGCAACCCTCAGCTGCCATTTTGGAGGATGCAACAGGAGCACTCTGGGCCCCTGCTGCTTCCCAAGCCCACAGGTGGATGAGGAAGAATTTGGGGCCTGAAACCCTCCTCTAATAACTGACTGCACTTCCTGGCTCACTCCTTCCTCTGAAAGCAGAAATGCACAGATAAGGCAAGTCTGCTTTTGGGAAGGCCACATGCCAGGCTGCAGCATGCCAAAGGACTCACCTTGCACAAACCTGGATCAAGAATCACAAAACAAATTCATGGAATCCCCATGGCTATGAAAGTCCTTAATTGCCCATCCACCTTCCAGAAAGGATGTGCACAAAAGTGAAAGAGTACTCACCTCACATCAAGCCTTTACTTTGGCTCCTCTTCTGGAACTGCAGTGAGGCTGGAAGCCCTCTGGCAGCGCTGCCTAGCTGGGAGCAGCCGCTGAGAATCAGGAGCTCTGGTGCAAGTTCTTCCTCCTTCTGTCTCGTGCTGGCTGAGCAGAAAGGAGGAAGCCAGAGCAGTGGTTTGTGGGCGGGCGCCTTCCCCTAAACCCAGACAGCCCTATGCACCAAAGCCAAAGCTGAACCCTATCTGCCTGGGTACTTGCCCAAAATACCTTCTTCTGCCCACTTTGGCCTCCAGCAGCACTGCCAGGCAGGCAGATGAGGCCAGCTCTGGGGAATCTGGAAAACTGGTGCCTTGGGGAGATGCTAGTACCCTCAGCTCTGGAGGCAGGGAAGCCAACTCTCCCCTCTGGCCCCAGTCTGGCTGTGGTGCTTTTGTTTCATAGGCAGGCTGTTGCAATGGGCAGGTCCTTCACACTCAACAGAGGATGACAGCGCTGCTCTTGACATGACACAGCTTGGGGGCATGCGGTTTTTTGAGCCTTCAGATTTTGCCATGCAGGCTGTGGTTTCCCCTCCTAGCACACCCCAAGTAGAGAGGAACTGGCTCCAGACAACTCCCTCTTAACCTTTTTAAGGCACTAAACTGAAAAACACATGGCATATTAGATTTTTTCAAGTGACAATTAACTTGGGACTTGTTATTTACTTTGCAGGTTGAAGAGGCCCTATCAGACAGTCACCAGTGAGCCTTCACCTGCTGACCCAAGCACTCCAGCGCTGGCAGCTCATCAGCCAACCCTGTTCACTGCACGCACAGCCAATGCATGGTCACTCCTTGCTGATGGGTAAGAGCGGCCTCAAAAGAATCAAGTCAGGGCTGGAGAAGACAGCTCCAGCTGTGAGGCTTCAGCTGCTTGAAAATTTCACCTCTCATACTTCCCAATTTGGGCACAACTTCCACTTTTTAAAGGATATCTTCTTATTTCTACATCTGATTTCTTCTAGCTGCTGCGGTTTAACTCTGCTGTGGGAGGGTGTCCTGTGGGGGCCTGTATGTGTGTGATTACAGCCCACCACTACAGAGCCATAGAGCTCTCCAGTCCGTTTCAAGGTTTTAACCATTCCATGTGACTTCAACAGACATCTTTATTTTGACTACTTATATTTAATTATGTTTCCATCAGCACGGATTGCTCCTTTTCCCCTTCCTGGCTATGGTTTTTGCAGGATCTCTCTCCACCAGCTGGGGCCAGGCTCCACTATGAGCTAGCAGCAGGAGTTGCCTCTGGCCCACTCCCACCATGTAGTGTTGGTGGTCAGAGAGGTTGTCTTGGTGCTGTGCTCCCCAGCAGCACTCCCCAGTCTACAGCAAGGCAACCACTCTTCCCAGTGACATTTTCTACACCTGACAAATGTTATATGTTCCCCAACATCCTCAAGACCTGGCATCAAGACCTTGCCTGCTGCCATATTGCAGATCAGACCCACCACTACTGGTCTCCCTGGCTTGGCTTCCTCCTCATTTTCCTGCACAGCAAAATCTCACAGATGTTGTTTTGGGAAGCACAAGTGAGCAGCGGTGACTGCTGTCATGTTGAGCTTGGCAAGTGCTCATTCCCTGTCTGCATGCCAAAGGTGAGCAAGGATCTGGCAGAAGAAAATGGGCACCACTCCCTTGGTGGTGGGAAGTTTCTGTTTGAGAAAGCCACTGCTGGCGAGTACTGCATGTATGATGGTGTTTTCTGTGATTTTGAAAGAAGAGAACCACAAAAGGGAAAATGAAGCCCAGCTGCCAGCAGAAGCAGCGCAGGGAGGTGCTGTGCCACCCACACTGGGATGCCAGGCCCAAGGGAGCAGAGCAGTGCCTGGATGTCCTGGTTTTATGATTTTGTTATTGGTATTCCGCATCATAACATAATGCACTGGTAATTAAAGAGTTAATGCTACAGTTCCGTGGACTGCTGATTTTCTGGGTACCTGGTTCTCAGAAGAAAAGGAGAAGTACATACCCCAGAGGGGGCTTTTGTTTCCATTTTCCATTCAGAGGGAAAAATAAAACTGCTCACAGACCGTGACTCGTCTCCTTCTCCTTTCAGCTCATCTCTGCGTGCCTGCTCCCTAGCTATCTCACCTTCAGCATTAGAATAAAGTCTTAGGTTTCAGACTCTCTCTCTCTTGTTTTATTTGATTTATTAGATTAGCCTCAATTTCTATTATATGGTGTTATGTTATCTTGCATTCTGGTATCTTATTTAGTAAATTAGCTTTCCTCCTCAGATTGTTGCCACTGTTTTGTCTTTAGGTCCATCTCCCATCTCCCTACCCTTTCCCCTTTTCCTTTTTCTCCCTTCCCCTTTCCCGAGGCTTGATATCCATGTGTCCCCCCATCCCATTAGTCATGGAACTGGGCTGAACCAGCCTGTAAACCACTGACACTGTGAGCATGTGGTAACGGAGCAGACACTTCTCACAGCAGACTGTATCTGTCAGCGTGCACACAGAGCACGGCCAGGCTATGCCCACAGTGCAGCAGAGGTTCCAGTCCTCACTGAGCCACAGCTCTGACTCCAGCCAGCCTGCAAGGTCCAGGGCCAGGTCCCTCCTGCCCCAGCTACAAGTGCTGACAAAGGTTAGTGTTAGGAAACATTTCTTCTCAGAAAGAGTGGTGATGCAGTGGCACAGCTGCTCAGAGAAGTGGCAGACTCACTGGAGGTGTTCCAGAACCATGGAGATGTGGCACTGAGGGATATGATGTGGTCAGTGAGCATGGGGGAATGGGTTGGGGTTGGACTTCATGATCCTAGAAAGGTCTTTTTCAACCTTAACGATTCAGTGATTCTGATTTCAAGAATTAGACAAAACATTCCTGCTCGTCCTTCCATCCCATAGCAATCTTTGGGACAAAAACAGTCCTTCACTGAGTTTTTTGGACAGTAAGAATACCTGCTTAGTGATCTTAAAACACTTGCTTCTAAGTTTCCTTGAATCCATTTCCTCATGTCGGTTCTACGACCCAGCCCTGGGCTAAACTCTGCTTCAACCCAGAGCTCCAGGTTTAACCACAGCGCAGCCAACCTCTCCTCAACTGTTTGCAGAAGCGGAGCGCTGAAGGCCCTGCAGCCCCTCAACGGCTTCGCCGCCCGTCCAAGCGCTTCTTGCCGCGCCACAACGAGCAGCCGCACTGGCCCCGCCATCCCGCCCTCCTCCGTCGCCCGCCCCGGAAGGAAGAAGCGAGGACAGGAAGGGAGTGCGGAACGCCGCCCGGCAATCAGCGTCCTCGGAGCAGCGTTGTGTGCGCGCACCGCGTGGCCACGTTCTCTTCCGGCACGCGCCCCACTCGGCCATGGTGGGGAAAGTACGGCGTCCGCGGCTGCACGGCGCCGCGCCCCGACCCCCGCTGCGCCCCGACCCGGCGCCGCCCGGTCCTGGCGGCCGTACCGCGTCCGCGGCGAAGGTAGCGGGGCGGCGGGGGAAGCGGAGTGGAGCGGGGTCGCGCGGGGCTCGCTGCCGTGACGCCGCGCTGGCTCCGATTTGGCTGAAGCTGTGCGCTCGACCCGCGCAGCGGCTCAACTCGTTTTGCAGATAAACGGTGTTTCCCCGCCCGGCGTGTGGAGCGCGGGGCCGCCCGTGCACGGGGCAACACCTCCTCGCGCTCCTTACGCCTTCAGCCCGCTCTGTTCGGTTTCGGCTCGGTCCCTTCTCAAGGACGAGCGATGGGAAGCGAGGAGTCAGCCTCGGGGTGCGGGGGAGGCTCATCTCAGGCTGCGCGAAGGATTTCTGCGTAGAGGGTGCTTGGGGGTTGCCCTGGGAGCTGCAGTCCCCGTCCCTGTAGGTGGTTAAGGGATGTGCGGCTGCGGCGCTGTGAGATGCAAGTTCGTGGTGGGACCGTCTGCTCGGCAGTGGCTGAACTCGGTGGTCTTGCAGGGCTTCCAGCTTTAGTGACTCCGTGATTCTATAAACCAGGGCGGTGGATCCAGCCTGCTGAGGGCCAGGCTGGGAAGCGTATGGGAAGCGTAGATCGAGAGCTGGTGTGCCGCTGGTCAGCAGGACTGGGGCTTACCAGCTCCTCCAGTCAGCGGTAGCAAGGCGATTCCTCCTGTCTGAGCTGCATGTGCGGAGGTTTGATGTCCAGTGGTGGTCCCACACCATCCCTGTGTGGGGTCTGAAGCTTTTGCTTCCTTTTGAGGCACGTCTGGTGGCCACGAGGCGTGCTGCCTTTGTGGGCTGTCCCAATGGCACTGTGACCTGTGATGGCCTGGCGGGTGTCCCTGCTTCTGTATGCACATGGAAGGCTCCTGAAGGTGCCTTTTTGTAGCTCCAGGTGCGGCTTAGCAAAGATATCCAAGGGAGTGGTCGTTGACCATATGGTGAGATGCCATAAGACAGGCCTGGTGCCCACTGGAGGTCCTTGAAACAGAAGATTGAGTTAAATTTTCTAAACGTCCTCATTTTCAGGAAAGTTGTGTGTTGAAGCTGCTGTAGCATTGAGCTTTGCCATGTGTCTGCTTGTGTCTCACCCTGCAAGCCACAGGAGTGAATGAGCCACAATGGTGGTGGCTTCTCAAGGCAAGTGGGCCATGAGTCCTTAGGGGCCCTGGTAGCCCTTAGGTTCACCCCATCCAGTGCTGCTTAGCAGGTCCTTTGTGCACACCATAGGAGGCTGCAGGCCTTGTTCTGCAGTGCCTTCCCATTTCTGGCCATGGCAGGTGGGGTTGATCTGCCAGCTCACACATAACCATTAGGAGCTTTACATTCCATTAGATCTCAGCAGCTGGTAGGCCATTCATGCCTGTACCCTCTTCCCTTGTAGTAAGGACACAGGAACAGCAGTAAATGTTATTTATGCATCTACAGCTTTCCTTTGGGGAGGAAGTAATACGCTACATCATGCTGAGATGTGTTTATAGCTTTGTGCAGTAGTGTGTTTGTGCTGGGTGACTCTTAGTTAAGGCAGTGAGTTCTCCATAGCAAACCATAAAGGCTAGTGCAAAGCTTGGGGTTTAGGAAGTACTGTGTGCTTAAAGGAATGTGATGCTGAAGGTTTGGTGAGTTGCCAGTTGTTAGTCACTCAGTCTTCTTCATGTCCCCTGACAAAAGCAACAGATCAAGAGCCTAAAACCTATCTGCATTGTTCTCTGTATACATACCTATTATAAGTCTGGCTTTTCCTGTGGGTGTTATTCATAATTCAACTAGGAGTAAACTTGAATTCAACTGAATGAGGTAGGATACAGCTACTGGTCCTTTAAGAATGGTAACAGCTTTGGGATCCAGCATGTTGGATGTTGGCAAGGCCCTGGGTGCTCCCCCTGCCTGCTGATAAAAGGCACCTGCATATCACTACTGGAATGTTTTCGTTAGTCCCAGCAGGATGGTATAGGGTTTAATTATCTTGTTTCTAATTAATGCTGCTGGTTGGTACTGACTCCTTGTTAATATTTCTTATCAGGACTGGGACTTCTCATCATCTGACATCTTTTCTGGGCTGACTATTGACCCTGATTCTCTGGTGAAGAAACTTGACTTGGACACCAGAAGCATTGTTTCATCCAAGACAGGTGAGGAGCAGGATCTCAATCTGTAAGTGCCCACAGGACTGTGAGATGCTTTGGAACCACCTGGTGCTGGAGGAAATAACCTTTTGTGGCCAGGAAAGCCATTGTAAGGACCAGTGTTCTGCCTTTGTGCTTCTAGTGTTCCTGCTGTTCGGTAGCCATATCAAAGGTAGGAAGACATGCAGTTAATACTGGAGAAGTATGTTTATTGGATGGAGCTGCTGTGTTTTGAATGGATATGGTATTAAGTTGTGAACATAGACTTGTTTACTTCATTTGGGACTGCATTGGCAGCGTTGGGCCTGGCAGATGTTGGCCTGGTGTCCTGTGCTCTTACAGGACACTGCTCTTTTAAAAGGGGCTTCGGTTTGTGGCTGCAGGACACAGGAAAGCTCATCTACTATCTGTGCTTCCTATTCCCTTGGTGAGGAGCTTGCTTTGGTCTTCATGATAGCTTCTTGGCTAGGCTGTGCGGCTGGAGCCTTCATGTGGATGTCTTCCTGCAGCCAGAGGCCCCCAAGGTATGAGGCGACAGCAGAGTCCAGGCTGTCACCTGGCCTCCAGGCTTCCTCTGTTGCTCTTCTGCTTCACCAGCAGGTGAAATTCATGCCTCCATATTTTGTCAGCAAATCCTGGGGGTTTTCTTTATGCTGTCCAGGCTAATTTGGCATGTTGTTCCTTAGCAGTGCTTTACCTATGGCAACCCAAGAGCAGCCATTTCTCTTATCCTGTCCTACGCTGATGCTGAGTTCTCTGTTCAAGAACTCCTGGATGGAAGAGTTAGGCTCACCAGGGAGTGTGTGGCGAGAGGAGTTGACAAGGAGGAGATGATAGTGGCTTTTGTTTCCTGTTGAACAGGAAGAAAATGCTCTCATTAGCTGCTTAGTGGTAGACAGAACTTCGTATCTGAAACCGGTTCAATAGAAACTGATGGCACAGGTGGTCTGACCTGGTGCAAATGTCTATTTCAAGATATGTGTGACTTCCAAATACTTCATTTGCAAACTTAAATTAATGTATTCTCTCCATGCAGATTAATACTGCATGACTGTTTTCACGTACCAAGTAGTCAGGGCTATAAACAAACCCAGCAATTCCGCAAGGGCTAGTGGGCACCTGAGCTATGGTGAGCTGTGGCTGCAATAGCCCCTTAGTCACATTTTGGACGTAGGGAGGGGGGATGGGAAGGTTGTGTGAGGGCGTTTGCTTGAGATGCTTGTTCCCTGCACAAAAGTCTTGATGAACTGTGTTGTTTTGAGAACACTGAACTTATTGTTTGTAATTCTCTTGGAAAAAGGATGCGTGTGCATGTGAACACGGCCATCTCTTTAATTAAATTAGACAACATGTTAAGGACTGACAGTCTGCAATCCTGGTCTTTCCTTGCAGGCTACAGCTGTGCATGTCTGGTTTATAAATAGACCTGGGCTGCTGGTCACTGTGCACTGCTGATGATGCAGATGTGCAGTGCCTGGCAATGTTTAACTCGCTCCTGAGGCTGTGTGCTGGTGTCTTTTAGATCCTTTGTGCTCCCTTGTACTTTCTAATTGATCAGCTAGAGACAGCTGTTTTTTTAGGCACTTGGAACCATATTTCTAAATTTTCTAGTATTTGTATATTGTATTTCATATGCTTTATCCCATGAATCTGGTCTTTTCCAGTTATCAGTCTAGTCTTGAGAAGAGCTTGGAATTGGGTTTAGCTTTTAGTTGATGTCAGCCTGAAACTCGGCAGTGGTCAAAAAACCCAAATCAGCTGTTCGGAAGTAGGAGGAAAAGAGAACAAACTTGAGGGCGGTTATGCCACTTTATGTGTAAATGCATGTTACCTGCAGATCTTTACTACTGTGTATGGTCCTGCCCTCCTTTTTTCCGGAAATTTAGAGCTGAGCCAGCAGCAGTTTGGAGAAGGGAGAGACAAGGATGGGCAAGAGCAGCAAGGGAGGGTGTGGTGGAAATCAGAAGAGCTGCACAGTGAGGGAGAGTGGCTGCATCTATTCTGTTACAAACCTGGGAGAAGCAGTGAAAAGAGCAAACAGTATACATGCACTAAAACATGACATTTAGTGTGTTGTTTAGAATGCAGTCCTGGCTTTGAACCGATGTATTGACGTGCGGAAATCAAACTCTAACCACAGAGTAGTCAGAAAGCAGGTATGTTTTATCAGCACTGTGCACATGCCGGATGCAGGGGGGATATTCCCACCTAGCCTGCATACTGGAGGGCAAGAAGGGCACATAGTTAAAGAGCAAGCTACTTACATATGCATTACGTGTCCAAGAAAAGGCTTGGTTATTACAATGAATCCCCAAAATGATTGACATTCCTCCCGTACCCCAAGTCTCTGCTCTTTTACACATGTGTATCTCTTAGTGGCCTTTCTGATGAAGGTCATCGTGTTATTTTCTTGGACTTGGGTTAGGATGGAGGATGCTTGGCTGGCTCTGGTTGGTTTTCTCATTGGCCACAACTCTGTTCACCAATCCGCTGCTTCTTCATTAATGTGTGGGTTTACTGTTTAGGCCTGCTACCTTGCATTCCAGAGATAGGATAGCTAATGATGCTATTTGGAAAAACAGGAGACCCACTGTCTGCATTAATTGTCTAAGTCTGTAGAAAAGCATCTGTTATCGGCAGCAAGAACCTGGCTTAACAAGGTCAAATCTGCAGCTGCTGATTCAACACCTCATGAAGGCACATAACTTTTAACCTAACTTTCCTTAATTCAGTATGAAGTGCATTCTGTATGCTTCTGTAGTTTTAGAAAAGGGTTACATGCATTGATGGAGAGGTCCATTGGGTTTTTCTTGCTGCAAGGACTTATCCGTGTTTGGAACATGCTTGGGTACTGGGGAAGCCTGACAGTTCTGCTTGTACCACTAGGGAGGCTGTGTGGGACAACTGGAGCAATAGTGGTGCAGGCTGTGCACTGGAAACCAGCTAAAGAACAGCAGAGCACAGGTTACTCACAAGTGATGAAAGCTTTGTTTACAGGTCCTGTTTTGATGTGCTGGAGTCAGAGAGATGCAGATGTATAGGAAACCCAGTTGCTATGTTGCTGGGGCTCAGGGGGCTATTGCCCATAGGTGTCAACAGGAGAAAAGGCCTCTCTTTCTACTTTATCCTTTTTTTCTTTTTTCTCCTTTTTCTCCATAGTCATTTAACAAAGTGGCAAGCTTTTGCTGCTCTTTTGGCTGTGCTTATTATGAGAAAACAGGGAAGGAGCACAGTACAGAAGTTAGGAAGGTTGACATCTGTAGCAAGGTTAGCATTGCAGTTGCCATCCATGTTCGTGTGTACTTGTGAAGATGTGTGATGGGACTGAAGGGAGATGTGAGACCTCTTGCTTTGGGAGGTAAACTGCTAGTGTTGGTTCTTGTCAACTGAAGTTCCTGCTGTTTTCTGAGGATTTCTGAAGATTCTTGGTACATCTAGTATAGCCTTGTGCCCTGTCAAAACATCTGCTATGCTCTCTGCAATGGTCTTGTTGCTTTCCTTGGAGACAAGGCTGATTCAGAATGCTTGTTGTGTTTGGTGAAAGGTATCAGTTTTTTGGGAAATCTGTAATGTTTGCAGCATGAGAAGGAGAGGGTGGAATTGTAATTCAAAATGTCGCCTAAATGGAATTCATTTCAGTTGACCTTTGCATCTGTGACTGTAGGAGATTGTGGCCTAAAGTGGAAAATATTTTAAAATGAGGAGCTCTGATCCATGCCCTGCTATAAAGCAGACCTACTGCGACTACTTTCTTGTGCTCTGCTTCTTCTCTTTAATTATTAGCTCATCTTAACACAAGATTCCAGATGATTTCCACATGCTTATAAGTGACAAAAGCCAGCAATGTTATGAACATTGGGGTTAAGTCTGTGAGTTATTTGCTGAATGATTGCTTCCTATCAGTGTAGTTTACTTAGACACTGACGTAATGTAAATCAAATTCTTTGCCATAATCTAATCCATGCAAGGACTTCTGTTACTGGTGTGAGAGAATAAATCTCATCTGGGAGAGCCTCTCTAGCGTGGGAACTGAATGTTTCCAATTAAGTCAGAACTAATGGCCTGCCATATGGGGAGCGTATGCAGAATGGAGTTTGCTTCTTGATCACAGAATCAGGGAATCATAGACTGTCTTCAGTTGGAAGGGATCCACAAGGATCTCCAAGTCCAGCTCCTGGCTCCACAAAGGACCACCCAAAATCCAGTCCTTGTGTCTGAGGGTGGTGTCAATGCTCCCTGAGCTCCGACGTCTCAAAGCTCTGGAAAGCTGCTCCATGCCCACCACTCTCTGGTGCAGAGCCTTTTCCTAACCCCAGCATGACCCTTTCCTGATATAGGCCACCACGAGGCCTCCTCTCAGTCTCCTCTTCTCTGGGCTGAACAAACCAAGGGACCTCAGCTGCTCTTCACACACTTTGCCCTCCAGACCACCATCTTTACGGCCCTCCTTTGGATGCTCTCTGATAGTTTTATCCTTCTTACACTACGGCACTTTTCTAACTTGTATAGTATTTTGAGCAGTTCTTCAGCTTTACCTCCGGCATTTTTGCTTTCAAAAAGAGGCCTGTTCAAGTGTGACTCTGGCAGACCACTTGACTGGGAATGAGTAAGTTTTCCTGCAGTTTGTGTTTGCTCCTTGTGTGCCACTGGTGAGCCAGGCAAATGTGAAACACAAATTGAAAGCTTTTGCTTTGTTGGTCCTGGGCTCATTAAGGGTCTTGAAGGAAACTGTAAGGAAGCATGGCAGGAGTTACCAAGACAGGGGACACAGGCTGACATTAGGCTAAGCAGAAGTTGGGTTGGGCCTCTTGGCTTGTTGAAGCCTGGGTCTGCATGAGGTCGTGCAGAGCTACAGCAGAGTTTCAGGCATGCATGCTGTGCTGTTCCCTTCTGTCTTGGGAGCTTTGGTTCTCTGCTGAACAGAATGCCCTTGCAGCACAGGTTTCTGCATCAGTGGTATGAGTAGGAGCAGAGGGGTGAAGTGATGGAGCACCTGGCAGAGGCAGAAATCCCTTTTCCTTTGGAAAAATATGAAGATGAGAGTATAAAATCAGGCCAAGGAAAAACTGGACAGCTTGGAGTTGGTCTTACTTTTCCTCTCTCATGGATAACTTGTGGGTTCCTTCTGTTGTCGAGTCTGCCTTTGCAGAATTACTAGCTGGCCCACTCTGCACCTCAGTCTCTGCTGTGGTGTTCCAGATTTGCTGGGTATATCAGATAACTGCTTCCTTCTCTTTGGACTCTGTAGCTACTTGTCCAATTCCCTTCTCCTTATGTAGCCTCAAGAAAGAAGCAGAAAACCTGCAGTTGGCAGGTTGGCTTTGTGGCCCTGCCATAGAACCATGTATTAAGTTCATGTGATGTGATGTGTTTTCCTGTGCTGATATTTTTTTTTTTTCTTTTTTTTTTTAGATAAATGGTTTGCCAGGATCTATATGATCATCTCTGTTTTCAGCTTTGCACAGTGTCTGGGCTTTCTGTTACTGCTGCAGTGGATTAGCTGTCGTGTTTGTTGCTTGCTGAATTGCACCTGTGGCCAGTCTCCTGTTACTCTTTATGAGCTCTAATAGGATACTAATCTTTGTGTCTTGTAATTCATTCCTGTCTGTTCCTTGTATTTCTCTTTGTCTGTGTCCCCTGAATTTTGCAGCTTTTTCTCTTCTGTCCTCACCTGTCATCACATTTCTGCATGAAATGCCTCTGTATGAGTCAGAGTTGTGCTTCTGGTAGGAGCAGGTTTCTTCTCTTGGGAGGATGTTTGCTGTCTTACTCCACAGAGTGTGGTGTAGGTTTGGCCTTTCTGCTGTGTCTAATGCTGATGCTGTGCACCTTTTTTAAGCAAATATTTGGTCATATGGCATAGCAAGAACAGGCCGGAGGTGCTGGCAGTATTATCAGCACAGACGTTTTGGACCTCTCTGTACGTCCTGTGCAGCCTGCTGCCTGCTATCTTGTGCAGCTTCCTTAAGGCATCTAAAGCATCTCTGTTTTCTTGTGCATAGTGCTGCACCTGCCTTGTGCAGATGGGTTTTCAGTTTTGTTTTGCTTTTTTCTTTCCTGGTGCTTTAGAGTGTTTAGAATTTGAAAGACTGAAAACATCCTGTTCTGTTTTCATTAATTCACCCTTTCTGAATATCGCTTTTAAGCCTTTACTGCATTTTCTTGATGCAACTGTAGGGTGTTTTTAAATCTTCTGCTTGTGGTGACTATTCTGTACATCCCTAGCAGGGAAAGCTGCTGGATCTTAATGATTCTGCTGCTGTCAGCTTTCTTCAGCATTTAATTCTGGGCCTGTCGCTGCCTTAATCTGTTTCCCACTCCTCTGATAGGATAGGGCACCAGTAAATTTGCAGATTGAGGGTGAAAGTAAGTGTCCTATGAGGAATGGCTGTGTGCCTGTGTGAATGTGATATGCTGTCCAAAGCAGCAAGATATTCCTGCTCCATCAGTGTCTTTGTTATTAACTGCTCAGATGTTGGTATCTGTGAATTCTGGGAATAACAAGATGCTCTCTTTTGCTGCTATCAGTGGTAGCATGTTGGCAGTGCTCAGTTGTTTTACACTGAAACCATTTGTAACATCTTTGAAAACCTCTACTTGGCATATTGCTGCTCCTGTAGAAGAAACTGCTGAGTACCATTTGAGGTGAGATGTCCTGCTTTCATGGCTGGGGAACTGGATGAACCTGGGCACCCAGACTCCATTAAAGAAAAGTTTGAATAAAGCTCAGCCTTGATCATTTGAAGTTGTGTACCTCTCCTTTGCTTGCCTCTCTCTTTTTGCCCATTGTGCAGCCTGCATGGGTCAGGGATGTGTCCCCAGACTTTAAGTTGGGCAACTGTGTCAGGCAAGCTGCAGAAGTTTGGTTGCAGATTTCTCTCTTCCCTGACCATGCTGCCTCATTCCTTTTCCTTTCCCAGTGCTGGCCAGCTGTCTGGAGGAGCTGTTTCCCACTGAAAGCACATGATGTTTGAATGCATCTAACTGACATGGGCTGTGCAGAGCTGAACCAGTGCTAGGTAGAGCTGCAAACCTTAAACTGGCCTACAGATTGGTTGGCCTCCCTAAAAAGCACTAGAAGACCCTCACTTTGCTGGCTTTCTCTTCCTCCTCTTTGGCTATTCTTGTCTTTCTTACCAATGCAAATCTTTCTCAAACAGTAGGAATAAATTATTCTTATGCATCTAGATTTTTACTTTTTTTTGTCTTTCAAGATGAGAATCTGAAGTGGGAAAGAAAGAAAGCATAGTGGGAGTTGTTTTTTTTTTCTATGATGTTGTATGTGAAAGTGCAAGTAGCCCCACCCAATTTACAAGAAAGCAAAAATTCCTAGAAAAGGGGTGATGCTGAGTAGGGATTATACAGGAAATGTGATAATCTTTACTTCTTTCCCAGCCCCAGATTGATAACTGGGTATGGAAAATGGCTGTGAATGACTGCCCGTGTGTCTGTGTCTTTGTCATGTTGTCTGAGGGAGTAGTTCGTCTGTCTTTTTGCAGAAGTGCAGTCAGTAAAACACTGCTCACTTCCAAGCATTGAACTGAGTTGCAGCTAAACTTTTGTTATTGTACCCCCACTGGCCTGACACAAACTGCGGGATACTCTGAACAATGTGAATGGGATGGAGTGCTGATTGGCATGGAACAGATGGAGCGCAGTTCATTTTTTTATACAGGAGCAAGTTGAGAACGTGAATCTTCTGGAGAAGGAATGTTTTAAAATATATTACATATAGTATATAATATAATACAATATAATTGGAATTGGAGCTAATAAATCAAATATAATGAGAGTGTCTGAAAGCTGGAGGCCTTACTCTAATGCTGAGATGAGATGGCACCCACAGCCAAGAGAGGCCAGAAGATATAAAAGGGGAAATAGGGAGTGTTGGGTGACCAACCAAGGTCTTTATCTGTTCCCCCTGAGCGGAAATGATAGCAGAACAGTGAATAGTCTCCTGGGAATGTAGTAGTTCTTCTCTTTTGGGGCAGATAACTGGACCTGGAGCACTAACTTTTTAACCCCCATTGCAGTACATGATGTTATGATGTGGAATACTGATAACCAAAGATTGTAAAACCATGACATTTGATAACTTAGTATGCCACTTTATTAGTAGGCTTATAGGCTTGATGGTAGTTGTAAATCATTTCAGGCCTAGAACTATTGGCAGTTTGCTTTTGACTATGGCTTTATGTGGGTAGATTTCTTGACGTGGCAATTTATCGTACTCCCTACCTCACTATTTTTGGCTGAAATCCTTTTAATTTTTTTTTTTCCTATGTCTTTAGGTGCTGTTCTTACATTAAGAGAGTTAGATAACCTTGTAAGGGTAATTTTGCTCTCTGACTAATAAACAGACCTTTATAGAGCTGAATGGTGTTTGAGAGGAACTCTGACACTGACGGATGGTATGGGAAGCCTCTCCAGATGATTTTAATCTGCGGCACCCTCCATCAGAAGTCTGTAGATTGCAACAAATCACCGTGATGCCAGAGGACTCTTCTACTGTTGCAGAAGTTTAAAGGATGAAAACCAATGAGGACCCTACTTCAAGAATCAAGCCGTCCAAGTCCTGAACTGCGTGGGACTGCTTGACATTGAAAATGGTGACCCATTGCAGGTAGCTTAAGTGAAAATTTGGAATACAGTGGGAATGCTACTGTAACTTTAGGATACTGGTGCCTCACAAGTAATTCAAGGAGGAAGTCCACACTGGTTAAAATCAGTTTAGTAATTCACTGTGCTATGTGAGGCCCTCTGTGAGAATAGCTGTGTGAAGCTCCAGCTTAATTAGAGTCAATGCAATTAAATGAGAAGAGCTAAAATGAATGTCTGAAATCTGTGCTGCTTCAAGTGCTTTGACTTCTGGAAACAGCGTTTCCGTGTTGTGAGTGCCTTTTGCCAGACCACGGAAATCTGTTGTGTTAATATTTATGGAAGTAATTAACTTTTTTTTTTTTTCCTTCCCTTCCCTATGGCTGTGGCTAAGTCCTTATTCTTAGTATTAACATTTTAAAAACGATTCTACAATTAGCTTGTGGTCATGGATACTCATTGCCACACAAACAATAACATTTTCCAGAGTGCCTTGAGCTGCCAAGATGTTTGCAGTCTGGGAGAGGAGGACGTCAGTAGCAGGAAAAGTCTGAAACAAATCTTCGGAGTTTGTACAACATGTCAGATCATTCTGAGTGCATTTTCTGCTTGATTCCTGTGACTGTGTGACATTCACCGCCTATGAAGGTGGGAGTGTGTGCATACGTGGATGTAAGGGAGGTGAGCCCGGCTGCTGGAGCTGCTGTAGGGCTGAGAGCTGTACTGCTGGGGAATCATGAAACCGTAGAATCATTAAGGTTGGAAAAGACCACCGAAGTCATCTACTCCAAACATCAACCCATCACCGCCATGCACACTAAACTGTTTCCCTCAGTGCTACGTCTACCCTTTTCTTGAAAACCTCCAAGCAGCAGCTGTGAAGCTGCATCCTCTGGCCTTTGTAAGACTTGAGTGCTCTAGTGTGTGGTTGTTAGGTCCAGCGTCAGTCCCTTGTGGCATGAAGGGGCTCTGCTGCATTGAGACTGTTGCATCCAGATCAGGTATGATGGGCATAGCAGCTTGTGTGTGGTGCAGCATCTTGCTCTGTGAGATTATGAATCCCAAAGCCTTAAAAGGATACTAATGTAGCAAGGGTTTCTCCTCCTTTAATGCGGTCAGACATTGTTACACAAAAATAAATCAACCCTGCTTAGGAGAATACTGGAGCTGGAGAGGGTTACCAGCAAAAATCCTTGTGTTGTTGTTTTAATGTTACAGCCTTGGCATAATTGAGTTACACAATTACAAATGCTTCAAAGGAAAAGAAGCCTGGTTCTGCACTGGTGGCAAAGATACCACCCAACATTGAGTCCAAGTAAGGAAACTGTCCCCTGAGACATGGCAGGAACAGTTACACACTGAGTAAAGTGAGAAAGAAAAATCCCATTAGGGGGAGGAAGTGACTGTGGGGAGAGCCAGGTTGACAGCTCTGGAAGTTGAGAGCTCTTTCCTTGTCACCAGAGCATGTATGGAGTTGGGTCAAACTGTCAAACATATTTCTAAAATACATACCCTGGGAGTTTAATTTTTAATGTACGCTCTACTTAGAATATTGGTAGAGACTGGTAAAGGATGGATGGGAAATCTCCTTTCTGGGTTTTCCCTTCTGACTGGCTTGGTCGTGCTGGGAAATGTCCATGTGAGGAACATTATTCTGCTTGGGTATTCTTTCTTTCAAGGGTCTTCTGTGCTAAGATTGCCATCTGTATAAATCAGATCGCTGGATTACTAGAGACAAATCTCTGCTTTGCCAGTGTAGGTCTTACCTGAATTATGAGCTGTGTATTTAATAGTAGAATTCTCAAGAGCTGATGTCTGTCATTCAGACTAAGTCTTTAATGTAAGTATGTATTTAATGGAATAGTCTCACTTGATTTGTTTGTTTTGTTTTAGTGTAGAATCAGTTAACAGGGGCACTCTGTAATCTTCCAGTTACCCTACTGATGGCTCATAAGTTATAATTATGGGAAAACGTAATACTCATGTGGAGCTTTCTCCCTCAGTCCACCAAAATTGCAATGCGCACTTAAAAAGAAGAAGAAAAAAAAAAAGGTATAGAGTGCTGGTTTCTGTGCTGAGATCCATTCTGCTCAGGGGATCCTTGGAATACAGAGGTAATAAAAGACTATTTGTGAACAATTTATGGGGAATATTTTCTTTACACTGGATGAGTGCAACAACTTGAAGTCTGTTTGCCCGCTGACTTTGTCCAGAAGTGGCATTATTGATGATCATGTGTGGCATAACTGGTAATGGCACAGCATTTGGGTTTAGCTTTTTACTCAATTGGCTTATGGAAAGAAAGAAAGAAAGAAAGAAAGGGTTTTGTTTCCTTGGTTTTTAATAGGGGGAGTTTTTTGTGCAGTAAATCTTGATGGACATGGTCTAAGCTAAATGTAGGAAATGAAAATACAGAAGGATTAAATACAGTGAGTTCAAAAATACTCTGGGTAGTTTGAAATGGTAATTTGGGCAGATTTTTATTGAACTGGCAGTGTTACAAGTATGCCATGAAGCTAACCACAGGACATGAATTGTGCAGAAGAATGCACAGATGTTCAGGCACAGAGTCGGCTTGCAGGTACTCTGGAAGCCATATTGACAATAATTACAGCAAAGCAATGTGTTTCAGGGGGTCTGGGAGGATACGGCAGGGAAAATGAGAAAGGCCAACTCCCTTCCTGGCCCACTGGCATTGCTTGCTTGATTGCATGCGAGAGGCGTGTGAGTAGTCAATAGATCTGCTTAAAGAATGTGGGCTTCTGAGTTATTTTGGACATTCACGCTGTACATGGCTGTGTATGTTTGTTCTTTGAGCTGATTTACTTCTGATGCATTTCGTAGTTATTTTTACTCATTTTTGTTTACATCTGTTTTCTTTAAATTCCTTTTGAAAGAAAGATTATTTGTAAATTCAGGTCACTGGATGTTCTTACGAAACTGGGAAAGGGCGTCTCTAGCATGGATGGAACATTTCCTAGCTGCTGCAGATACGGGATGTGTCTGTGTGTGCGGGAGTTATTTTACAGTGTATTTCAAGTAAAAAAATCCTGGTATGCCAGCCAACAGAGGTACAGACTGCAGACTGCAGGAAATCTGCTGGCAGAAGCCATGATTCTGAGTTTAAGTTACTTTGTTCGTTAACACTTTGAACTGATTCTCAGTGATACTTTCAGCTGTCACTGGTGGCTCTTGTTACAGGTTCATGATCCTAGGGCTCAGCTTACATGTTCTCTGCTGCTGCAGATGCACAGGGTGCTTTAGTAGATTCTGTTTATATGGGATTATTATAACTTCATGTCTCTTCTTCCTCCAAAATAGAGGGTGTTGGCCTCCTTCCCTGTGTCGGGTGTAGGTAGCAAGGTTTTGCTCACAGAGGGAACTTGCAGGAGGAGGCCTGGACTCAGCCAGCTCCAAGGGACCCACCAACAGTGACTGTAAGCGATAAGTGACTTTCCTGTCTTTATCACAGCCTTCTTTTGGGTTGGAATGTGCAACTTCTCCATCTTATTTTCTCTCCCCTCCCCTGCTGAAGTGGGGAGAGCACCTGAGTTGGTGTCTGGCAGCAGGCCCAATCCACTACATGACCGTAGCTGTTGCGATTGAATTCAGTACTAGGCTGAAGTGTTGCTCTATGGCTGTTGCTCAGCCCTCCTCACTTGCTCTTTTAACTGAATGTTGAAGAATCACGAAATGGAATGTGCTCTGAATATTGTCCAGACTGACAGAGACCTTTGCATGAGGAACTGAATTCCCTGCCTGTGACTCACTTTTTATTAGTGGAGACAGCTGTTGAAGAAGGACATTCCTCTATGTTTATGTTATACCTGCACTTAATGATTTAGTCACGTAACAGATATTTTGTAGCCATGACCTCTCTGATCCACTCTAAGTGATCTGTTCTTTGAAAGCCTCCATATCTCTTGTGCCACATTGCAGCCTTGAAAATGGATTGGAAGTGAAGAACAGTTGCCTTTGCCATCTCTCTGTTGTGCATGTTTTGGTCATGGAAGCTACAAAGGTGACTTGCTTGTGTCCCGAAGGTTGGAGTTTCTCCTTTTCTCCCTCTCTTTGGGAAAGGAGAACAGAACCAGATGTGGTCATATACTCTAGTTAAAGCTTGGGAAAATACAGAAAAGGTCTTGGATCTATCCAGGTGTTTCTCCTGTATGTCTATAGATCTTGCTGCATTTGTGACCTCATTGCTGACAGCTTTGTAGCAGAATGGGGCATGCCTCTGGCAGAGCAGAGCATCTCTCTGAGAGTGCTCTGTTTGAGATGTTGGATGTGCTCATTAGAGGGCAGTAGAATAACTTCTTTTTCTAGGTCAGCTTTATATTTTTGAATAATATTTTTTTGCTCTGCAGGATGCAAAGCAAGTTTTTCCACTTCTTCCTTCAGTTTTTCCAATTGTAATGAGTTTATAAAACAATGCTGTTTATATGAAGACATTGCCCAATATGAAGGATCATAGAACAGTGATAGTAAAATCTGCTTCTTGAAGCTTCTGAGTGCTACCAGCTCAAAGGAGATAAGCTTCTGTAGGATAAACCACAAGCAGCTAACACTGTATGTGGAGAAGCATCCAAAGGAATGCTTCACTGCTAACTTGTTTTTCTCTCAGCCTAATTCTTATATGACCTATATGTCCGTAGGGATCTATTGATTTATTTTTGTACCCCAGCTGCTGCTGCCACCTTTTTCTGCTTGAAGAAAATGTTAAAGAGCCAGACTCTTTTTTTCAGCTAAAAGTGATCTTTACATGAGATCTGCTAGTACCCTTCCTCTCTCCCCTGTACTTTATAGAAGGCTGTAACCCTGTTTTAGCTTTTGCAGGTAATGTGTTTCTTGCTTTAAAAAGAACTGTGTGGAAGTCCTGGCTAGGAATGAACATCTCCAGTGTGTGTTTTGATTATTAGCAATATTTTGCACGCTGGTAACCTCTCTGGGGAGAGCGAGTTGGTTTGAGGCAGCTGGAATAGCAGGAAAAATGAATTTTTCTGTTTTTATCAGCATCAACCATTGTTCCAACAGATGGCTCTGATTTTGCAAGGTTTTCAGTGGAAGCAAACTACATTCACTAGAAGAAAATTAATATTTCAGAAGATGTACAAAAAGATTTTGTCTTGAGAACCTTGGGTGAATCTTTTTTCTCTGCAGCTCCTAGGCCTAGATTAGCAGACCATGTGAGAGCTGGCAGGGGGGCCATGACAACCTTCTGTCTCTTCCAGAATGTTCTGGGTGTCCTGCAGATTTCCATCCACCCTCATCATAAGGGATATGACTTCACATGCTCCGCTGGGGTTCAAATCGCAGGTTCCTCTTTTTGTTTTAGGGACTGTTTACTGAAACTTTTTGACTGTTTACTGAACTTTAGAAAAGCAGACTTCAAACTACTCAATGGATTGTTGGCCAAGATCCCCTGGCGCGCTGCCCTCAAAGACAAGGATGTTGAGGAGAGCTGGCGGCTCTTCAAAGATGACCTCCTGGAAGCACAAGAGGTCTCCATTCCTCTGAATAAGAAAGTGGGCAGGCGAGGTAGGAAACCGGCATGGCTCAGCAAGGACCTGCTGAGAGAACTGAGGGCGAAGAAAGGGGTGTACAAGCTCTGGAAACAAGGCTGTGTCACCTGGGAAGAATACAGGAATGCCGTCCGGACTTGCAGACGTGGGATCAGGGAAGCCAAGGCGCAGGCAGAACTGAACTTGGCAAGGGACGTGAAAAACAATAAGAAAACCTTCTACAGGTACATTGGCCAGAAGAGACAGGCCAAAACGGGCGTACCTACTTTGGTAAATTTAAAAGGAGAACTGGCTTCAACAGATGAAGAGAAAGCTGAGGTGCTGAATGAGTTCTTCACCTCGGTCTTCACTGGTGGCCAGGATTCTAGTCTTTTTCCCGTCCCTGAACCCTGCATCCCCAAACCTCTATGTGGGGACCAAGGAGGTAAATCCCTCCCCACTGTAAGGGCAGAGCAAGTCCGAGAGTGCCTCCTTAGACTGAATGAATACAAGTCTATGGGGCCAGATGGCGTGCATCCCAGGGTCCTGAAGGAGCTGGCTGAGGTGGTTGCCGAGCCGCTCTCCACCATATTTGAGAAGTCGTGGCTGTCAGGTGAGGTCCCGGATGACTGGAGGAAGGGTCACGTCACTCCCATATACAAGAAGGGGAGCAGGGAGGACCCGGGGAACTACAGGCCAGTGAGTCTCACCTCCGTGCCTGGGAAGATCATGGAACAGATCCTCCTGGACAACATGCTCGATCACATAAAGAATGAGCATGTGATCCGAGACAGCCAGCACGGCTTCACCAAAGGAAGGTCATGCCTAACTAATCTTGTGGCCTTCTATGATGGAGTGACGGCATTGGTGGACGAAGGGAAGGCGACCGATGTCATTTACCTGGACCTGAGCAAGGCCTTGACATGGTCCCCCACCACATCCTCATCTCCAAATGGGAGGGAAGTGGATTTGATGGGTGGACGACCCGATGGATAAGCAATTGGTTGAAAGGCCGCAGACAGAGGGTGGTGGTCAATGGCTCTATGTCCAGGTGGAGGCCGGTAACAAGTGGTGTCCCCCAAGGGTCTGTCTTGGGACCGGTGCTCTTTAACATCTTTATTAATGACATCGATGAGGGAATTGAGTGCACCCTCAGCAAGTTTGCTGACGACACCAAGCTGAGTGGTGCGGTTGATACGGTGGAAGGAAGGGATGCCATTCAGAGGGACCTCGACAGGCTGGAGGGCTGGGCTTGGGTGAACCTAATGAGGTTCAACACGGCAAAGTGCAAAGTTTTGCATTTGGGCCGGAAGAACCCCAGGCACCCGTACAGGCTGGGAGGAGTGGTCCTTGAGAGCAGCTCGGCAGAGAAGGACCTGGGGGTCCTGATGGACGAGAGACTGAACATGAGCCAGCAGTGCGCTCTGGCAGCTCGAAAGGCAAATGGGATCCTGGGCTCCATCAGGAGAGGGGTGGTCAGCAGGGACAGGGAGGTGATTGTCCCTCTCTACTCGGCTCTTGTGAGGCCCCATCTGGAGTACTGTGTCCAGGTGTGGAGCCCTCAGTACAAGAAAGACATTGAGATTTTGGAAAGGGTCCAGAGGAGG